ATAGAAGAATACGATAAGCATAGCAATACATATAGGAACAGGACAGGCCAGTAGAGAATAAGACTATACGACAAGCATAGCAATACATATAGGAACAGGACAGGTCATTAGAGAATAATAGAATACGACAAGCATAGCAATACATATAGGAACAGGACAGGTCGTTAGAGAATATGAGAATACGACAAGCATAGCAATACATATAGGAATAGGACAGGCCAGTAAAAAATATGAGAGTACGACAAGCATAACAATACATATAGGAACAGGACAGGCCATTAGAGAATATGAGAATACGACAAGCATAGCAATACATATAGGAACAGGACAGGCCAGTAGAGAATAGGAGAACACGACAAGCATAGCAATACATTTTGGAACAGGACAGGCCAGTAGAGAACAGGAGAATACGACAAGCATAGCAATACATATAGGAATAGGACAGACCAGTAGAGAATAGGAGAACACAACAAGCATAGCACAGCACAAGATACATCCAATACGACAATTTGATTCAAAAGAGCCGAATAGTGAGTACACATAAATCCGACATACGTCGTATAAAGCGCTGACTTGTGTTTTGTTCGGGGATATGGGCATAAGCACCTGAACGGGAACGGCAGTAGTGAACATAATCAGTACGATCTGAGCAATCAAATAAGCCTACACCCGCACTGTACGTATCTGTGACTATCCGATTTTAAACACCCTAAACCCTAAATCCCTAAAACCCAACCACGGTAACCCAAACAGTCACGCAGTGAACCAAAAACCCAAACCTAACCAACCCAACCCAACCCAGGCAGGCCATGCGATGTGATACCCGCCAATCTTACATACCCATCCCAGTTGCTTGACCACCCCCCTACTGAATCCCGGTATAACCGGGCATTGGGTGTGTGTGACGGACCTACAGGCAAACACGTGCCGACCGTCGGGTAGTTGTTCTGTGGTTTGTAATAGGCAGAAATCCTGGCCCTTCTCCTCATCGCGACTGTGCATCTTAACGTATACGATCTATGCCGAGCAATAAGGAACGGACGGGAATTCCGGTATTTTCGATAAGAATAGAAGGAAAATGGGACGGGATATCCAGGACTTGAATATAAAACGAATGAACACAGGGATTCAAATGGTGAACCCAGGATAGCGTTAAGAAGAAAGGAGAGTTAAGACAAGACTTCCGAAAAGTGGGCAGGGCATGGGATAGTGGAGGAGACAAGAGATCTAGGACATCGGAAGCGGACAATTATTAAACAAAGAAAATACGGTCTCCCCAATTGTCAATAACAGCCTGTCCTAAAACGAACACATCTCAAAAGGCTAGGCACATAGTTATATATAGCAATTTTGCCCATCCACTTCATAAGACAACACTCAGGCAAACAACTCAATAAACAAGATTCGGTCATATATTCACACACACACACACACACACACATATATATATATATATATGTATACATGTGGACACTTATATACATACATACATACATGCATGAATACGTATACATGACATACATACATACATACACACACACACACACACATATATATATATATATAAACACAGACACAGACACAGACACAGACACAGACACAGACATATATTATACATGGATTATATATATATATATA